TTATAAGTAAACCTTTGTTTTAGTAATTTATGTAATTTGTTAAATAACTTAATTTTAAATAAGCAAGAGCGGGCCAAATTAGAAAAAAAGTTTAAACTATTATATCTTATAAAAAAATATATTTATATATATAACAAAAATTTTTTGGGTAGATTTAAAATTTTCTGGATTATATAATAAAATTATCAAATTTGATTAGTCAATTTACATAAATTATAAGATAATTTTAATAAAAAAATTGATATCTAATATTTAAAATTTTATATCTTACTAGGTTTTTAACCAATTTTAATAAATTTACTATTATTAGAATTAGAAAAACCTACTCTACAAACTTCATATAATAGTTAATATTAGTTTACTTAATAAAATTTTTCATAAAATTAAATATAAAAAAATTTGCCATTAAGTTTATATATAATTTTAAAATAGTATTCTAAAAGAAAAAAAAGGCAAGTTTAAAAAAAATTTTAACAAGCAAACTTGCCTGTTAAATTGGTTAAGGGATAATTTGCTAAGTCAGTTCTATTAATTTTTCTAGTACATTTAAAAAAAAAAAAACAACACCCAAATGAGTTTATATAATAATTAATATTTGAATATGTCGAGGTTTTAAAATGCTGCTTAATAAACTTCATTATCACTAACCCAGCAAAAAATTTCTTGATAATCATTATGATATGGTAAAGAATATAGTAATTTCCGTTTCGTGCGAATTAACATTTATCGTTGACAATGCTTTATATTCAATGAAAAAACAAAAATAGTTATATTCTAAAAATGTCATCTTTTAATATTTCGCGATTCACATCTTTGGGTTCGCGTCCAAAACATACATTTAAAAAAGTTACTAGCGGTAAGGTAAATTTTCTAGATGCGAATGATGAAGTAAATGAAGAAAATAACGCGAGAGTAGTCGAGGATAAGGTGACAAAAGGTGAATAAATATGATCATATATGTTTCATTTTGAATACAAAAATATTCTAGAAAAAGATACATGATATAAAGTTATTTCGTTAATGTAATTATTCAAATAGATTCGTTCAATGACATAGCCAACACGATTCCGAGTTCAGAAGAGAAACAAGAAGGTTCGACTTTTATTTTAGGGCAAATTATTTCTCAAAATGAATTGGCACTAGCACAATCAAATACCAAATATGATATTTTCGATGAGTTTTTAGAGCTTGGTATAAGTAAATCCACCAATAAGACAAAGAATGAAATAAAAATCAAGAAAATGCGTGATGTCGGCGTAGACGTAAATGATACGACTACCAAAAATAACAAACGGGGAATTGAGAATGACGACGTTGTACGAAAAGAAACCATCACCAGACGTGCTTTAAAGGACAAATCAAACAAAAAAAATGATGGCACGAATAAAAAAAACGAAATCGTTGTTAGATCTGCACTTGTATCTGAGAAAAATCGAGATAAAGATGTGTTGCGTGTCGGCTTCAAGATTCACGAGGATAATAGTGAGATAGAACCTGGAGAGGTAAAGAATAAAAATGTGTTGCGTGTCGGCTTCAAGATTCACGAGGATAATAGTGAGATAGAACCTGGAGAGGTAAAGAATAAAAATGAAGTTCTAGTGATCCTGACCGACTAAGGCATTATCCTGGTTGTATTAATTTTAATCAGGAAATTATCGAAAAATTTGAATTTTGGTTTTTAGCAAAATTGATTTGACCAGATAAGCCGATAATCTGCTTTAGCTGATTTTTTTTCACTATCGGCCAGGATCACTATTAAGTTCATATGTGCTAGGTGCTGCAAAAAGAGGGTAAATTGAAAAAAAAAATTTTTTCTTTTTCTTTTTAAGTTGCAAGAACAAGATTATTTAAATGACACATATATTTCGGAAGACTGGCGTGATATGAAGCCAATCATGACATCAACCCCTGTAAAAACTGCGGAAGATTCGCAATATCACACAAACAATGTATCTTCAGCATCACTCGAAGAAGTCGGTAACATCTTACCATCGGATGATGATGATTTATCACCAGATCCGCTTACGCTTCCAATGCGGCCGGAAGACCGGAGGCTGCCACCGCCACCAAAAGGAGGATACCAGATTATAAAAAGGATCCTAGATAAACCGTTGACGCCAACTTCAGAGGTTGATGAATTGTCTGGTGCATACAATATGTAACGTATATACGTTATATACAGTAGAATTTTAGCTTCAACACCTCACAAAACTACCTCACAAAACTACAGTTGCATAAAATTCTGTTATAGAAATTATTATTATTATTTTTTTCCTTTCATTACAGCTCTCATCTAAATATTAGCCCTTATTAGCCCTTAAGTAAATTGCTACGTATAAGTTATCCTATTTGCATAGTTGTGAACTTAGGAAATGATTGACGTTCAAATTAAACGAAAAATGGGTATAAAAGGAAATTATGGTTTCACGGATTTGGTTGCGTAAAAACTCTAGTATCCTCATTCTTTTGATCTTGTGTCTCTCGCGTGTTGTATCGTGCTGTGCTTTCTTGATCTAGATCAGCCGCTTCGTTTCACTTCTCTCTGAACGGATGTCGTATTTATACAAATACCAAAAATGAAAAAAAAACTTAACCATATAAAATGGAATATCGAGGACTTTTTCCAAATAAAAATCGTGCTACATTGCTGTGCGTTTTGAATTTTTAGAAAACGACGTATCGTCGTTACATATGAATGTTGCAGAGCAAAAATCTGTAACTGACCATAGTAAATCATTATGATCAGTTACAGGTTTTTTCTCTGCAGCACTCATATAATCGTTACATATAATCGTTTTACAAATATTTCTTTGAAAAAATATATTTATATAATATTTTATGATTCTGTGCTGTGCTAACCTCGGGTGTCTAAAATGATCTTTTTAAATTAGAAAAATTGGCCTGCCAAAATAACCATAATTTTAGAATATTATTAATCATAACCACTGCTATCGCGCAAAACATATAATCAATTAATTTGACTTATAAAAAGTTAATATAATGGTCAAAATTAACAAACTAGAACGCGAATGATATTTAGCAAAAACATACGTGAAAAACAATGTCTTAACTAGATTTTATATAATATGTAATATTATGCTTATGTTATTTTATTTACTTACAGTAACATAGTTAACCGTTCGACCACAATATTTCGTGTTATTATTAATGCGCATACGTATAATAATGTACCTGAATACTATAACCAGTGTTGGGCTCTGGACCAAAAGTTCGCTCTACTGGACTTATAAACTGGACTATTGGACTTATAAACTGGGCCACTAGACCTATAAGTCCAGTTCCAGTTCAATTTTACTGGACTTATAAGCGAGCCCAACACTGACTATAACCGTGCTCTAATTAAATAGCAATAATACTTCATATATTAAAATAAATTACTTCTCTTTTGTATATGCCCTATTGAAATATAAATAAATCAGTTAACTGATAGAGAATGTTAAATTTTAAATTATAAAAATAAGGTCGTTTATTGCTTATCTAAATTGTCATCATCGTCTTTATTGATATTCGATTTAACTATTATAAGCTCACCAAAATCATGTTATCCATATTTGTATCATTCTGTTCGTTAACTTACAGGGAATGAAAATATGTATTCAGAAACACCTTATATCAAATAAAAGCAATTAAGAAGTCTTTAGAGAAATCATCTACAAATGTTTACTGGATCTTCCGAAACGTTAACAGTTAATCGATGATTTTAATAAAAACTCATAGCTTAATGTTATCACATGATTATTTCAATTTATTCCCATGACATGACCATTAATCACATCAACTGCATCTATTCGATGCGACCCTTGTTACAATTAATATAACAATTATTATATTAGAATAAATAAACCATATCTTCATATATATCTACTATAACCAATGTTTGAAAAGTATGTGCACTCATCAAACTTTTTTTACACTGCAATATCCACGATCTTCTCAAAATCTTCTGACTCTTCATGTTTACGTTTTAAAGTTGCATATAAAAAGCCGTAGTTAATTAACATCGCAAAAACAAAATTACTTTAGCCTATTAATTATACATGAGTGTCTAAATTATTTCGACATTTAGTCTGTCGAAATTAATTTTTCTTAGTGGTTGGATTAATTTTCATAGTTGTCGAAATTTTTAGTGAAATTATTTAAATTCTTTATGTCAAAATACATTAAATAGTATGGTTACTTTGTGGAATTCATATAAAAAAACTAGCAATGTCGAAAGGTTTGCTTTTTTTAAAAAATAATTTAGACACCCATGCATACTATTAATCAACACTCTTATTCAATAAACTTGAATACATACCAGGTGCCCTTACAATAACTTGTAAAGGCGTATCATCACTAACCCAGGACGCAAGTCGTCTTCTTCACCGTGTTTTCTCATCGACTGTCACATCATCCAACTTGGGTGACAATTTCTTCTTGATCACTTCTTTCAAGATCTCCCTCAAAAGAATTCGAGTTGGCTGGCTGTCACCATACTTAACCCAGATTTTGAAGGTTCCCGATCTAGGTTCTGTCACAGGGTTGACGAATAAGTTCAGTTCTATCCAGGTTCTGTCGCAGGGTTGACGATAAGTTCAGTTTTATTTTTTTTTACCTCTCCAGGTTCTGTCGCGGGGTTGACGATAATTTCATTATTATCCCCGTGAATCTTTACCTATTTTTTCGGACAGCAATTAATGACTTATCCACGAAAAAACTTTTGTCACGTTTACAACTTGCGAGAGTTATCACAAATTCATATGGACTGAGTGCTGCAAGAAGTGGATAGATTGACAAAAAATACGGATTCCACAGAGTTATACTGCAAGATTTTATAAATGCAACTGAGTTAACCTTGAGCTTATTTTGAATTGATTTATATAAAGATAAAATTACCTGTAATAAATTTACCACTGGATACTTAAACCGCAGGTTAAAAAGCTGTATCAAGTGCATATTAGTTCGATATCTACTGCGTTACACATCGATTTTGAAGTTAAAGATTAACAAGCTACACGAAAGAAAAAAAAAGCAGCCCCTATAATATGGGCCTCCATGGCGCAACCGGCTAGCGCGTTCGGCTGTTAACCGAAAGGATCCTGGTTCGAATCCAGGTGGGGGCGTGGCCCGCCCTTGTTTTTTTTTTATTTCATTTCATTTTATTTTTATTGACCCGAATTCTTTAAATATACCGAGTTTTGCTATTATCTGGCGAAGTAACGATATTTGATACATTCAAGATGAGATCTATGAATAAGACTATGGCATATTTGAACGTTTTACCTTGTTAAAATTATTGTCAAAAAAAAAAAAAAAAAAGGATCGGTTCATGCTACATGATATAAAGCTATATAAGGTAAGATCTTGACGTTATACGTATTTAGGATTTTCTTGAGAGAACATAATGCAATGCTTTAGGAATATATTGTATTTCAACTTTACGACAAGGTATTTATTATTAATTAATTAAAAAGAATAAGTTGGAATGTCTAAATCTATATTAATTCAGTTATATAGCATTAAATATCGAAGCATTACCCCCATTTAAAGATGAATATACGAAGCAATGATCTTGTATCATAAACATTATGTCATTCTTTAATATTCCAAATTATTATTGTTTTTTTTTATCTAATTACATCTTTACAAAATACTGGGCTCTTGAAACAAATATATCATACTCCTGATAAAACCCTAGATAATCCACCAACACCATATGATCTAACACTTGCATCTCTCTTGTCGGCAGGTCTTCATATAGGACATTCAAAATCTTTATGGAATCCTAAAACATCTCCATTCATTTTCGGTATTCGTCACGGTATCAGCATTATAAACCTTGATCATACTTTGATTTACTTGCGTCGTGCATGTAAAGTCACTCGAGAAATAAGTTATCGTGGTGGTATAATTCTATTTATTAACACACGTGGAGGTGGATTCGCTCTTGCAACAATCAACGCTGCAAAACGTTGCAATCAGTTTCAACTTACAACACGTTGGTTACCTGGTACCATAACTAATTCACAACAAATTCTGGGTCATTTAATGCCAAAAGAACCTGATGAAATGTTACCAAAAGTTTTTAAACCAGATTTAATAATATTATTAAATCCATTGGAAAATACCATTGTATTGGAAGAAGCAAAACATGGTAATGTGCCCACAATTGGAATTATAGATACAGATTTTGATCCTCAGAAAGTTAGTTGGCCTATACCTGCTAATGACGATTCGGTGAGAGGTGTGGAATTAATTGCAGGTGTTCTAAGTATGGCTGCTAGGGATGGTCTTATACATAGACGAAAAATGATGGAAAAAATAGAATCACAGAGAATTAAAACTAGATCTACTATCGTAAAAGTTTCATCAAAAACAAATTAAAAATATAATTTTGCGATCACAACACTTATTTCATGCATTTAAACCTTATTATAAATAGCAATTTGAGGCTTTTTAAACCAAGTACGTGAATTAGAGATATAGGGTTAGAACTAGAGTTAAAAGCCATAGGGAATAAATAATCACCCTCTATATCAGTTATGGGTTTTGGACTTGTCCAAAAACCCAACTGGACTTTGGATTGTTTTGGATAGTCCAAATTAGTTTTAGACTGTTTAATATTTCTATGAAAAATGTGATTATATATGTTACTTGTTCAAAATATTCAAAATTAAATTTTAGTTTTGGTTGTTTTGAACAATTTTGTCTAATTGCCAAAACTTGTTTATGGTTCGGGTATTTCAAAATCCAGATTTAGCTTATATTTAATTGGATAGATTCAAGCCCAGCCCATGACCACATGGTACCAGTGTTGGTCTATGACCTGTTATGACCTATTGGCCAACTATAGGTTATGATCTTATGACCTGTTATGACTTATAAAATTTACTATTATATTATGACCACCTTGGTCATATAAAGTTGAATATGACCCAAAATGGCTAACACTGTATGGTACAATCTATAGATTCAAATAGCTTAGTTTTAAATTAAGTTTGGTTTCGTAATTTTGATATCATGTAATTGAAAAAATAATGATAACATTTATAATTTTGGCCAATCAAATTAAATATGAACTATCTATGGGTTTTTGAATCTAGTCAAAAATTTTAAACTAAGCCCGGCCTATATTGAATTAGTTTATAGATACTTTATGGATAGTTTAGCTATATGAAACTCTATTTGTTTAAATACTATTACTGCTTTATATATAAATTTTTTTAATATTTTTGATGCTCAATATTCAGTTTAATAATTTTTTTTTTACTTTTTTCTGCATTTCAAAGATCTTTAGATATCTTCAGATTTCTCATATTTCTTAAAGATCAAAGTTTTGTTTTTGCAAGATTACTAGTATAGTAATTTGGTCTCTATATATTATTATACTAGTGAGATAACTTATGCTCTGTTAATTACATCATATGATATTCTGAATCTCTGGTACTGTAGTATAGAATCTATATTTTCTAGATCTATAGTTTTTTAACTTTATATAACTTACAAGTTAGATTATCTTTTTATATCTATCTTTCTTTTTAAAACAATAATCTTCTTTTAGTTCTAATCTACTACCTCATCTATTTTTAACTTCTACTATAATACTATTATCAAAATTTTTTTGATTGTATTTAAGTTTCTTTCTTTTCTTCTTTTAATTCATTTTGTTTTTTCTAATAGGTGACTTAGTTTTCAAAAGTTTTCTCTTATTTTTCTCTTGATTTTTTTCTGTTTCATAGCTCTGTATTTTTTTTTCAAAAATCTTATTTTAAAGATTTTCTCTGAGAGAATT